AACAAGATAAGGACAAATAACAAATGCAAGGAAAAAGGGTTTCATAAAGCAATTTACCCAAGATTGAGACAGTTGAGCTTCCTTGCAAACCTCAAAAGGTGACTGTCCTGTTTTTCAAGTATGGCAAAAGCAGTCAACATGTAATAACTAATAACAGTTGGTAAAAGTTTTTAATGCCTTTGTTTACCACTGCCCTGACAAGTTGATGGCGGAAAAAGAGGTAAATGTAAAGCAAACAGCCAGTGTTACCCAGATCACAAGGCAAAGTTACAAGAGTAAAGACAAAAACTGCTTATGTGTAAATTTGATGCCTTAATGCATATGAACATATGGAAAAGAATGATCCAACTTCATTTTGTAGATAAATCATGCCAAAGGCAATGGATGTGATATATAAATGCAAAAATATATTTAAAAATTTCCGCAAACATTTAACTTCTCTAGAGAATACCAGGTTAAAATGTTTCTCAAGTTACAGACGATGTGAACAACTCCTTCATAATCAAGTAAAATACAGTCAGCTACTCGATTATACAGTTTTCTTAAGATCTGGAAAACTGTTAGTCGCTCGCTTGTGATAATCATAGGACTGAAATTTGGAACAAGATGAGGATAGCATTGATGTCCTAAGATGGGCCTAATCTTTTAAGAAAGTACTGAAGGAACACAAAGAGAATAATACGGATAGATGATCACATACCAATGTAATTAACATCAAACAGATTATTATACATCTACCGCATGAATACAGATTGTGTGAACAAAAACAGATACAGCCCAAAGCATTCCACAAAAAGCTACAAGTTGGTTGACCGCTCGGGATATTCTTAGGAGCCAACCAGTTCATATTGTTAGTTACACCACATAATATCCATATGCATTTAGATGAAAGACTGTTAATCCTATCCCGATGATCAATGCTACACAATATATTATCCTTCTAGTAAAAATTTACACTAGAAGGATAATCCAATTTGAGAAACGGGAAACTATGGAGAAGTACCTATACTAATACTAGTAAGAATGGTAACTTAGACTGATACTTGAATCTTAAGGTGCCACTTGATTTCCAACAAATATCGGTAGCTGATGAACATGAAAGTGACTGCATAGATTCTAATGGATGTGTGTGTTTTGACATACACGATTAGTATAACCTGATAATTTACAGATTCCAAACAAATAGCTTATGGAGCTGTCAAGTAAAGTATTATATTTTTTACAAATCCCAAAAAAATATTGTTTCATTATAAATAGAAAAATTGGAGTGGCTCACATCCAACACAAGCAGCAAGAACCAACCTTGTGCTCCACAATTGGCAACTCTTGCAAATCATATACAACTGCACCTGAAAGACCCAAAAGTAACGCCCAAAATTATAAGTAAGTTGAAAATAAAGAGTATCATCAGTCTTATAAAAAAATGAGAGCAATGTTTCAAACATTTCTATGTTCTAACAGATGATGAACATTCATTCATGATGCAAAACATACTAGCAAGCTCCAAAGGGAAAATCTACTTAAGGTCAAAAGGCCATAACCTAATCAGTGTGCATCAAACTACTGAAAAAGAACTTAAAAACAGCTAACAAAGCACAATTTAGCTTTTTAATTGCTGAATTCAGTATCATAACTAGTAATAGAAGTTAAAGATGGAAGTAGTCACCATTCTTGATCTGGATAGGAAATGTGGTGGACCGCTGAATTCATTCTTTCCAGGAATAAGGAGCACGCTCGACAATTAAATAGTCCTGCCTAATATCTTTCACCACCCGAATTTCACCATCAATATATACTGACTCAAACCTACATAGAAGATTATGAGTTAGTTTCAGTTGCATAAAAGAAAACAAGAAAAACAATGCCATCATAGCCACAATAACATATGAAAGTTATTTGAATTGAGTATTCTCTAGGGGGTCTTATATCTTGTGGAATTGTTCAATACATCAAGCCCATGGTATGCAAAAAATATGAATGAAAATAGTTTTTTATTGCTCTGCTTCAGGATATCATCATTTGATATGTATAGACATTACCAAGTATAGAATGAATATAATAGCATATTCGAAGAAATTCTGACTCCCGGTCAGAATGATTTATGCATTCTGAGTGGTGAAAATAATTCTCTTAATGTAGCGAGAGAATAAGAATAAATGTCACTTACCAACCCTGACCGAATGGTGGCAGAGGAAACTCCCATCCCTTACCGCGGAGAACAGCACTTGTAAATCTACAAACGCAAGATTCGTAACACATACTAGGGCAATCCTTGATCCTTTAATCCTCAAGCAAAAACATAGCTGATGAAAATACATTCAGCAATTTTCCCTAATTTATCCCATTTCTTCACCCAACACAATTTCACAGCTCATCACCTCCAATAAATTCTCTTCATCCAAGATAAAATTGCAGTGGTATCTAGAGTTCTAGACTGCTTTAGAAATTGAGAATAGTAAGTTTGCACTTTCCAACACCAAATAAACTATGAAGTGATATAAAAAATGGAAAAAGCAACATGACCATCTCAATATATATTTTAGGCCTATCAAGCACTGCAGCCATTTAACACTTATACCCATCAAACGAACAGTCAAACAATTCCAACAATCAAGGATCTCATAGTCAGTATGGTAATCACAAGCTGTGACATACAAACATCAAACACTGTAATGAAGTCACAATAATCAAAATCAAGTAATGCAATGCTAAACATCTCTATAATGTCGATAGATTACGTCATCTCGAAGTAATGACAGCTCACACAAACAAACAAATAGATATCTCCCCAAAAAAAATGGTTAAGAGAAAGCGCTTGCCGGAAATTGACTCTTTGAGCTGAAGCGACCTGAATCTCCGACCGAACAAAGAACACTCCGTCCGGAGGGAAAGTGATAACGTTGTTGAGAGTCTTGTGCTCGACGTCGATAACCTGCAAAACATCGCCGGCGGAGGTACCGCAAACCGGCGCGTTCTTCACGATGAAGAGCTGCTCCTTCTCGGTGGTCCACAGCATCCGCCACGTGTCTGAAAGCGATTCTCCGGTGGTGACGCTCCCGCGGCTGGTGGCAGCCAGTGAATCGACGGCCTCAATTATCTGGGAAAGCCTCTGCGGGTCCGACTGTGTTTTGAGGCCGCGGTCCTGGTCGGCGATCAGGCGGAGGAGGTGGCGCTTGGCGTCGACAGACGGAGACTGCGATTGGTTGATGAGGGACGAACGCGTGACCCTAGCGGATCTCCTTCGCGGGAGAGAGAAATTGGAAATGGCGGGAAGGGAGAGAGAGTTGGTGGCCATTTTTGAGTGTTCGCGGAGCTTTTTTAGTGTTGGTTTGGCGGAAAGAAAAATCAAACCTTCTACAATTATCCAAATCAGTCTGATGAATGGATGGATGGGAGACGGGGCGGGTTAAGTTAAGGAAATTTTTATCTATCCTACAAGATTTAGATTTATTTGCGATTTTGTAGCTACTATAAGTTTAATTGCATATATACATAAAACTATTGAATTAATTGGAGATTTATGTTAGTATGTATTTATATGTGCGCAACTGAAATTCCTTAATTCACGCAGTTGTCAAGTGAATTCTTTAATTCACGCAGCTGTCATGTAGTATATATTCAGTATATGTTAGTATATATTCAGTATATGTGGGCAACTGGAATTTCTTAATTCACGCAGTTGTCAAGTGGTATATATTGCGTTTATGTTAGTCACTGTTCTAAAAATCGGCTTAGGCGGCGCCTAGGCGCTAGGCGGTGCCCGGGCGCCTCCGATTTGTACAAATCGGCAGAAAAAATCGGTCAGGCGGCTAGGCGGCGCCTAGGCGGCGCCTAGGCGGCCCTAGGCGCTCCTAGGCGGCCTTGGCGAACTCGGCGGCCAGGCGGTTAGGCTCATCTAGGCGGGCGTAGGCGACAATTTTTCATTTTTATTTTTAATTTTTTTTTATTTTTTTAAATACTAATTACATTATTTTGTTCTCATGTTTTCTTTAATATATATTAATATTATTATTTGGACTTTGATGTGTGAATTTATTATATGTTGAGATAATTTTATTTTGTAGATAGTTAAAATAAATAAAAAAAAAGGTATTTATTATTGATTTCTGGGCCCCGACTAGGAGCCGCCTAGGCCCCGACTAGGCGCTCTATGCGCTAGGCACTGGTCGAGCGCCTAGCGGGCGCCTAACGACTTTTAGAACACTGATGTTAGTATATATTCAGTATATGTTACAATGAAAAAAATATCTTCCATAAAAAAATTATATCTTCCTCTTTTTTTTTTCTTTTTTCTCTTATACATAAAAGTATATATATAGTTTAAAAACATATTATAACAGATTACTTAATATAAAATCATACATATACACAACAACAACAAAAAAATTTAGTTTATGCTAAATATAAATTGATTTTATACATAAAAATTGTGTATTGTGATAAATTTCTTTATCATATATCGAAAATATACTGAATATAAACCATACATATACAAAAAAAAAAATCAGTTTATGCTCTGTCAAATTCGTTTCTAACAAAAAATCTTCTAATATAGCCAACATAAACTATGAATAAAACATTAAAAACATAAAAAACGAATATTAATTCATAAACTAATTGTACATAACTAAGATTTACATATATTGTACATATACTGCCAACATATAGTGTTTATACACGCCACATATAATATATTCATGTTCGCAAGCGGGTGGCGGTGGATCGTATCTGCCCATACGGAAAAGCTCGATTCCGGTCCAAGCAATCATTACACCTTTCGTGAAAACAAAAGGCATGAAAGACAGTAACAAGAATGTCGAAACAAGATCGCAGCAATTTCACCTCACATATAGTCATATAACATAACAAAAACAAACCATATAAAACTTTCTTCTTCCCTACCCAGGAAATAATTTATGCAAACACAATTTTCTTTTCCACTACCCAGAAAATAATTATATCACCATATTTATCTAACATATTCAATTATATCACCATAAATTCTAATTTCGCTGAGAAAGAGTTATCACTGGAGTATACACATTCATAGAATGGCGATAAAGAGAAGTAATCGAAAACTAGGTTTCGATCATGTGGATCTGTGTTTAGCCATAGCTGGCCCCGGAAACTGATACCGGTTGAGTCGTTTCCAGGGGGTGGTGGAGCCGCCGCGACTGCCACAGGGGCCTCGTGTTCGCTCCGGCGAGAATTATCGGAACTTTGAAGTAAATTTCCGTCTATCGTGTGAATAAAACGAAATTTGGGGGAGAAAATTTGAAACTATGAAGGAGCAGCGAAGGAGCGGTGGGGAGGAAAATAGCGGCGGATTGTAGAAGAAAAGAAGATGAGAGAGACAGGGAAGAATACGAATAGAGAGGGGGAGAGAAAGAAAAAACGTGTGATAATTATAGATCCTATTAAATATGCTTTTACCATATTTAAAAAGAATTATTGCTGCTCAATAATCTACTATATTTGTAAATAAATATGATGCTTTTAGTTAATTTGTAAATAAATATAAATGAGTTGTAAATATGTAATAAAAATGTTAACGTGTTGCTGAGGATGTAATTTCCTCTAAGTTAAATCCAACATAATCGGGCCTAATAGTATAAAGCCCACTCAGGCCCCGATTAGTTGGGCTTGTTGGGCCCAAACTGCAAAACACTCTAACGACGTCGTACGATTTCAAATACTTCTGCTCAAACCCTATGAAATGTTTCTTCACTCGAGTAACTCTGCAACTGAGCTATACAGAGAAAGAACGAGTCACCGTGTGAAGCAGATCAGATCTAGGGTTTTGTCCTGCTTTTCTGCGTTTCCTTTCGACTGTTAGATTGTATTATCGGTTATGGCGATTTCGTCGCAACCTGATATCTCCGGCGAACGTCAATCCGGCCAGGATGTTCGAACTCAAAATGGTACCGTTTTTCGTCGTTGTCTTTGTCTACTTATTTTATACTTATGCCTGTGAGCTGTTGATGTTATTCGAATGTTTTGGCCTTGGATATGCAGTTGTAGCTTGTCAAGCTGTTGCGAACATTGTGAAGTCTTCGCTTGGCCCTGTTGGCCTCGACAAGGTATTTTTGCTTTAATTTATCTGCGTATACTGCCATGGAGATGGAGCTGGTTGCTTGATAGTAATACTGTGATAACAATTTAAATAGTGCCTAATTTAGTTGCGTTTTCGGTTTCTTCTTGTTTTTATGTGCGCGCAATCTTTTCAGCAAGACATTTTCCTGTTCATGTTGTGCGTATGTTAGTGATGAAAGTAGTGATTGATAGGTTTTACTTTTAATTATAGCTTGTTAATCGAATAACCCGAGTATTGTGAGTATCTTTAAGTGCCTAGTAGCCGTAGGTTAACATCTCAGTTTAGACTTGAAATCTGATGCTTCTTTTTGATCCTGATCGGTACTTGCCAGATGTTGGTCGATGATATTGGTGACGTGACTATCACTAATGATGGTGCGACGATATTGAAAATGCTGGAGGTTGAACATCCTGCTGCCAAGGTAAACCTTGTGTTTTTGTGCTTTTACAAATTTAGCATTGTAATAAATTTATGTGTAGTTCTTACATGATTACAGGTTCTTGTGGAGCTGGCAGAATTACAAGACCGAGAAGTGGGAGATGGCACGACATCTGTGGTCATTATAGCTGCTGAATTGCTGAAGGTATTATGGCCAGTTTTACAGTTGCAGGAGTACAATATTTTACCGAAATCCGTAACCTGAAATGTTTTATGCTAATTTTGTATTTATTTCTACAGAGAGCTAATGATTTAGTGAGAAACAAGATTCATCCAACATCGATAATCAGTGGTTACAGGGTTTGCACTCAACTATGTTTTTTCTTTTATTCCTCCTGTTTTTCTTCTTCCCTCAAAAGTTCCATTTGTTTAGTTTCTTCATTTTCGGGTCAGTTATTTTACATGATTCTCTTGTGTAATTATTATTAATATTTGTTGTCAGCTTGCTATGAGGGAAGCATGCAAATACGTTGATGAGAAATTGGCTGTAAAGGTAACTCTTCTCCTAATTGTTCCTTCAGAAGCACATATTTCTGTTTGTCATATTTGGATCTGCAGAACACTAAAAGATGTGGATTCATGTTTGTATGCTGCTTGACATGGATCAACTTGAACTAGTATCTAGTTGTAAACCAGAAATGTTTCCTCAAAGTTGATAGGATTTTATATGTCGATTGTTTGAGACATTTTTGCATGTGTGTTAGGTTGAAAAGCTTGGCAAAGATTCCCTGGTGAACAGTGCCAAGACCAGCATGTCCTCAAAGTTGATAGGTGGTAACAGTGACTTCTTCGCAAATCTGGTAAGTTAGTGGATGAATGATTAATCTGTGAATTATTTGCCCCTGTGATAAATGCATACGACAGAAAAATCGAATCAGATGCGTAGCTTCTAGTGCTGTAAATTTTTTTATTCTTTTTTTTTTCTTTGGGTATTCTATGTGCATTTGATCAAACATTGAGCATTGTTTTGTTAGCTAAAAATGAATTTTAGTTGTGTCTCATTCTTGTGTCTCATTTTCTGTGATGTGAACTTGTACTCATGTGACTTCTTTGCGTTTCTTCTGTGGTCTATGACCATCAGGTTAATGGTTTTAACCTTCTGTGATGTTATTTGGTGCTTTGAGAAGGTTGTTTCTCTCTAGTGAATTAGTTAACTTCTTAATGGTGTTTACATAGCATTAGAAGTTTGCGTCTCAAAAAACTCTTTCATTCTTTAGGTTGTTGAAGCTGTACAAGCAGTAAAAATGACAAATGCAAGAGGCGAAGTTCGGTATCCAATCAAGGTTGGTTGTGCATAATTGTGAACTTATCGTTCTTGGAAATGTTTGTTTCTCTTTTAAAGATGGTCTCAGTTAGCTGTTTCTTCCAGAATGACATTTGGGTTGAAGGCTCTTGTTCGTTCGGTTAACAAACAAGATTCTTTTTGTTTAAGTTCAACTCATTTAATAAACTTCTATTGTATTTTTTGGTTTGAAAAGAAAATTAGACTAGTCTTTTGTCTTTGAAGCCATACTATCTCAAAAATCTTGAAGATCTCGTTCTGTAAAAATTATAACTGACGTTTAGAAGAAACTTATTCCTGCCCTAACCCTGAAATATCAACAATAATTTTCCTTGATCTTGTTAATCTTTCAAATAGAAGAAAGTGAGTCATTATTTCATTGGTGATCAGGGAATCAATATTCTTAAAGCCCATGGGCAAAGTGCCAGAGATAGCTATCTACTTAAAGGATATGCTCTGAATACAGGGCGCGCTGCACAGGGGATGCCCTTGAGGGTTGCCCCTGCTAGAATTGCTTGCCTTGATTTTAATCTTCAGAAGACTAAAATGCAAATGGGAGTCCAAGTCTTAGTCAATGACCCCCGGGAGTTGGAAAAGATCCGTCAGAGGTGATCATTTTTTGTTGTATGTACATTGTTAACAATCTGGAAAAGTTAATTCAGATTAAAGAATCTTATTGTATGTTTATGTGCTTAAGTGCATGTCAATGAAGGAAGTTAAATTATACAGAAATCAATTTGCAGGTCAGCCATATGAGTTCTTAGATCTCTTTGAAACTATGACTTTTTCGATCGTCATTGCTCTCTTGTTCTCTGTCATTGCTCAAGACTCGTGTGGAATTGTTTTAAAGTTTGCACCATATTTTTTTCAATAATCCTCCTGCAACTTCTTCATGTTGTGTGGTAATGATAATGCCTATTTATCTTGCAGAGAAGCTGACATGACAAAAGAACGTATTGAGAAGCTTCTAAAGGCAGGAGCAAATGTGGTCTTAACGACTAAAGGAATTGATGACATGGCATTAAAGGCATGCTTTCTTTTAATTCACTCTAGAAAACCTATGTTTCTCGGTGAATCTGTAGATTGTTACCTTGGTTAACCTTTTTCCTTGTAAGGTCGAGTGCTTAATATTATTAAGTAACTCATGAGTCTATTAACTCATGCATTTCCTTCATTCTACAATATATTGGCTAAAGGTGCATTTCCTGTAAATTGTGTTTGCTACCATTTTCTTACGATGGCACATTTACATACTTAACATATTTGACAAATTGAAATCATCCATCAAAGTGATGAGTGACCCATCTTCTAGATGTGTGATGTGTCTTAGCATTTACCTTGTCAGGCCGCTTCTGAGGAATCCACAAGAAAACTTTTGCGCAACTTCTGGATATTTATGAATTTAATTTGTATTTTAATATGGTGATTCTGTAATTCTCTTGCTTCAGTACTTTGTGGAAGCTGGTGCCATAGCTGTTAGACGAGTTCGCAAGGAAGACCTGCGCCATGTTGCCAAGGCAACTGGTGCTACGGCGGTACTTTAACTCCTTATCTTTCAAATAACGTGTGCATGCATCGATGTCCTTTCTCTTCTGCATCCTTTGAAGGTTTAGTCCATCGTCTTTGAGGGAGAAAATGATTGCTTCTTTACAGATCTCTACTTTTGCTGATATGGAAGGGGAGGAAACATTTGATTCATCACTTCTAGGATATGCTGAGGAAGTAGTGGAAGAACGTATTGCTGATGATGATGTGATTTTGATAAAAGGGACCAAAACCTCAAGTGCAGTATGATTAATATTCATTCAGTTTCTTTACACTATTTTACTTTTGATTCTTTGTTGACCTCTTCATATATTAAGGCAACTGTAGCCATCTTCTTTAAGATGACTTTGATCGCTTGAGACAGTGGTACATTTCGAATTGCAGTGTAGAAATTTATCTCAAAATCTGTTTCTTCAGGTTTCATTAATACTAAGAGGTGCCAACGATTACATGCTAGATGAGATGGACAGGGCTTTGCATGATGCCCTTTGCATTGTTAAGAGAACTCTGGAGTCTAACACAGTGAGTGCCTTCTTTTGTTATCCCCTATTTTCTGCCTTCCCATAACATACATGAAGAAGTCTTTATGTTGTACTCAATTGGTACAAGCACTTATAAGTTATAGCCAGTTAACTTTCAAAAGTCAGCTAACATTCTTTATCTGGAGCTTACCCAAGTTCAATTAGATTGAATGTTGTTAACTATATATAATTTTTTACCCATAATCGTCTTGTCTGTGGCTTGTAACTAAATGTGAATATAGGTTGTTGCTGGCGGAGGTGCTGTTGAGGCTGCCCTATCCGTGTATCTGGAAAATTTAGCTACTACCTTGGGATCCAGAGAGCAACTGGCAATTGCAGAATTTGCTGAATCTTTGTTAATAATACCCAAGGTCCCCTGACTTTCCTTACTCTAGTCATTTAGTAAAATTGAAATTGTATGTTTTCCACTGTATAGTGTCTGACTTGTGTGTTGTTCGTTCAGGTGCTCGCTGTCAATGCTGCTAAAGATGCAACTGAGTTGGTTGCTAAACTACGAGCCTACCACCACACTGCACAAACTAAAGCTGACAAAAAGCATCTGTCAAGGTAGAAAATTCATGTTACAAGCCTCTGATAGTATAATCCGGATATATCTGTAGCTGCACATTAAATTCTCGTTTAAATCTCACCACACTAAATTAATAAAATTAGGTATCTTGAAATTGAAAAAAATAAAATAAAATAGTATTTGTTTCTCTTTACAGATTGCATCCTCAAGACTCTAGGGAGTTATATGTTGGTAAATATGAACTGCAAGAGGTGTTGATAACACTTCGGGGGTGTAATGTGTTTTTGTAAGAATTGAATGTTATCATAGATCAGCACTAAAATGTTAGTGTAGTTTTGTGATATTTACACCCCATTATTCTCTGTTGAGAGAGATGAACCTGATCTTAGTGAATGCCTGGATACTAATTTTTCCAAAAAAATCCGATCATTTTTAACCAATCACTTTTTTAACTCAACTTTAACTCGACTCCACTATCCTCAATATTATCAATATAATTTAATAATACCACTCAATCATTCTTAGTTTCTTACACATTACATCAACTTTAATTCTCTATTCATCCACTCACATAATTTTAACTAAACATCAATTCACATCATCTCTCTCTTGCTTTTACATCAAATCAACTTTAATTATTAAATTTTAAATATTATTTTAATATAAATTCAAAATCCCACTAACAACTAACTATGTCACTTTTTCAAAATTAACCATACCAAACCAAAAAATCCAAACAAAATCAAAATATCTGATATCCAAGCATCCCCGGTGCCCTTGGACAAGCTTGGATGCTTTCTTATTTGCTTCACGCATTGCGGCTTTTATGCAAGTGCATTGTTCATTTTTTGAAAATATTAATTGATGGTACATTCTTTTATGGCTGCAGCATGGGTCTAGACCTGACGAAGGGTACCATCCGCAATAACTTGGAAGCTGGAGTCATTGAGCCTGCAATGAGCAAAGTGAAGATAATTCAGGTTTGCTGCTCAAACTCGATGTTTACTTTACATGACCTGGAGAATGCCAATGAATTTACTGTTATTATTTCTTAACAATTTCTTTAATTATTATTGCCTTTATCAATTTATTTTTCAGTTTGCTACTGAAGCTGCTATTACCATTCTTCGAATTGATGACATGATCAAGCTTGTCAAAGATGAGAGTCAGAATGATGAGTAATTAGGCTTGCCTTGAATTGATTATTGTAAGTTGATTATGATGTTTGATGGAGGACTTTTGAGATTTTTGATTTGGTACTTAATTTAGCGTTGTTATGAAAGCTGAAGGAAAAGTTTTGTTGATTGTGTAAGGGAATTGCCTCTGTACTGTTAAGTGGTAACACAATTGTGTTTTTCTGCTTTCTCCTTAGCGTGTAGAATACATTTGTTGTGTGGTACATTTCCATAACTTCTCTGTTTGATAGAATTATCTTCTTGGGAATCATTTCAATTTTCAAATCCTAAGAGCATCTCTAATGTTCTTTCCATTGCTTTATTTGTTGTCACATGACACAAAAAATCTTATGTGGTATGAAAAATGTCTAGGAGGTTTTCTAGATGTAGAAATTCTTCTAAACAACTTCTATTATATATTATATTATTTATTCAATTTATATCTCTTCTCCAACTAATTACAATTTTACATATCACAAATGATACCACAATTAACACTAATCATTGTAGACACAATTTTTAATTTCTTATCTCCATGTTATACAACACAATTTTCATTGGAGATGCACTACAGTGTTAGATCAGTTTGCCAAATTGAATTTCCATTAGTTTGCCAAATTGAATTTCCATTGGAGCTGCACTACAGTGTTAGATCAGTTTGCCAAATTGTTAGTTATTGTTTTAATAGAAGTACGTTTTGAGGGTTCAACAAATTCTCGTTCGTTCTTCCAAGTACAGTTTTGGTTTTTTTTTTTTTTCGTAAAGTGCTGATAATATAACTGTGTTTTAGTTTGTCCATAATCGGAATTCTGCAAGCTATTAAAGTCGTCCAAAATAAGTTCAAAAAATTGTATGAGGGTAACCATGCAAAGAAAATGAATATAAATAAGTAAATGAAGTTGAACTGCAACTTCGGGTAATTTCAATCCTAGGGCCCTGATCTGGTTTTTTTCAAGTGCAAACCCACACAATTACACACATCGAGTGTGTTGATTTAACTATAAAAAATACGATGAACATTGCAATCAGTGGATATTTCCTACAACTTGAATGCATTTCTAATTTTGGGTAACTACTGAATGACTTTTATACGGAGATAAGGGAGTAATGTGACATTACGACTGCTAGCGGTTTTATATTAGTTCACAAGCGCGCATTGGGGAGCGGAATATGTTATAATGTGAAACAGAAAAAAAAAAATAGTGATGACAGCATGTGGAAAGTTTGATTTAGCATTAAATTAATAAGCTGGGCTGCTTAGAGAAACTCTAACAACATAAAGTTTATAAACCTTCTCTTTATCTTTCCAATACTCTATCTCATTTTCACTTCTAATATCAGAAATCTCCAATAGTCATAAACCTCACAAATTTTTTTTAATGGATATCACATGTTTTCACTTAGTTTAGTTTATACATCATTTTAATTCAAAAACCCACAAAAGCAACATACAAAAACTAATAAAATAGTACATGGCATGTGGAGGCCCCACCTTACTGTATTCCCCATCAAAAAACCTCATCAAAAACCTCTACTAAAGATGCTCTTAGGAGACGATGGGTTTAACTAATGAAGAGCACGTGAAACGCACGTATTGAACATTTTATTTTATTTGGGTTCAGTTACTCAGTAGTGCCACTCCCCTCGCATGCAAAATTAATTTTCTGTATATACTAAGAGTATGTTTGTTTATAAGAAATTTTTAAAAAATTTCCAACATTTTAACTCAACCACTTTTTTTAATTCAACCCTACTATCATTAAAATTATCAATATAATTAAATAATATCAATCAATCATTCATACACTCCACATCAATCTTAATTTACTATTCATCCACTCACATTATTTTAACTAAGCATCACTTCAAATCTCTCTCTCCTACTTTTACATCAAATCAATTTTAGTAATTTTATTATAAATATTATTTTAATATACGCACTAACAACTAACCATACCACCTTTTTCAAAATTAACTAAACCAAACCAAAAAATCCAAACAAAACCAAAAATTTTTATAAACAAACATGCTCTAAGTACTTTTTAAGACTCAATGATGATATGCCACTAACTTTAATTCAATCTTGCACCCAAGATATAATTTAACGCTTTTGCTATGAAACCATCGGATAACACAACTTATTAAAAATTATTCACAAATAATATATTGACATATATCTTACTATATATAAATATAATATTTTGGACAGTTATCACTTTATCAAGTTATGAATGACTCTATTAATAGTCATCTGCCGACTCCATAGAATTTTTGTACAGTTTAAAACGAAAAAATAATATATAAAGTTTTCAAGATACTTTTATTGGTGGTGTCTTAGTTCACAACTTTTAACTTAAGTTCAATTCTCTATCCCTACAGTCAATTTCCTGTGTAAAATCAATCCAAACCAAAAATCAAATAAACTACATTCTGGTGTTAACAAGGATTTATTAAAGTCTAGTAGTCATTCTTGATACAATACAACTAATACGTGATCACCTTGCAAGGTGAATCATAGTCCAACAGTACCTAAAAATTAGTCATTTTAGAGCCATGAATATTCACCTTGTAACGTGAACAGTTAACCTTATAGGCTTATAGCAAGTACACTCACTGTCTAAATCAGAGGTTGAAATGTTACCTTATAGCAAGTACTCTCTCACTGTACGGACTGTACATATTCCTACTTACCTCAATATTATTGCAACGAATTCCCCCTAACCCAGCACTACATTCCATGTGACCCTTGGGTCCCCATATATCCCCACCATTTTCATATATTTCCATATATATCCTTATCCATATTTTTTTTATTGCATATTATATAATAAAAAGTATCTCACTCCATGTACCAAGCTTCAATCTTGAGAAAAGTATCAATAGTATAGGACAAGAAGTTACCTTATTTCACGAGACTCTGTAGGCCATGTGTTTCATGCATAATACCCATAATGTGCATGAATATGTGCGTGTATGTAATTACACGCAAACACTGGCGCGAGGTACGTTATGGGCGGTCTTCTTTTAAGTTGCGGTAGAGTGGGTCACGGAGCTTCCAGCTGTCGCCACGTGAATTGTCCCCATTTTCCTAGCCATATTTTCAAATTCTTTAATCCTAAATTCTCATATGAATAAAGTTATCTATCTACTACTCCCTCCATTTTGAAATATAAGGTATTTAATGTTATTGCACAAATATTAAGGAGACATTAATTAATGAATAAATTGACTAAATTAACCTTATTTACTCTAATCACAACCACTCCACACTTCCTTAATTTCAACACAATGAGGGTATATTTGGAAAAAAATGCAAAAATTTGTCTCGATTTTTTAGCGCGCTTTATATTTCAAAAAAAAATAGAAATCCTTATACGCCTTATATTTCAAAATGGAGGGAGTATATAATTAGGCAACACATTTGCTATTTTTAGAAAGTTTTATATAGGTTTTACAACACTTTTATTATTTTTGGAAAATCCTCACATTCTTTGACACGTGTTCATAATTATATTTATATTAATATTAATGGTCTCACCTAATATTTATTTAGTTTACCGATAACTAACAAAGACCCATTACACCCATTATTTAATGATTTGACATGCATCAGTTGGGACTCATTTTTTTAATACAAACAATTAAAAGTACGGCACATTTGTACTTGACAGATATTTTTATAGAATTTTATTTTATATTTTATTAAATATTTTAGTTAAAATTATTTATCTAATTTTCATAATTCATACTTTACACATTAAAATAATTATAAGTATTTGTATGCTTAATTTTTTAAATTTTTTATCTTAAATTTTGTACATAAAAATTAAATCTAATAGTAGTGAAATTAGATATAAAATATTAATTTTAAGAACATGCGCAATGAATAACACACAAACATTCTTCACAATAAATAAATAAATAACAACATATTTTTGGAATATTTTTTATTTCATTTTCTACAACATACAAATTAAATCTAATAATAGTGAAATTAGATATAAAATATTTTAAAAACATGCGCGATAAATCACACAAACATTCTTCATAATAAATAAATAACATCATGTTTGTAGAATATTTTTTGATTCATTTTCTACAAGTTGAAAATCCAAAATATATGATCATGATTAAATTAATCGATTAAACAAATAGTATTATATATTTATATATATGCAATATATATGTAATAAATATTAAATTACATAATGTAAAGAGTATTTCGTAAATACTTTTGTATTTATTAGTAATATCGCGATAGCATAAAAATATGACTTAAATGTTAAATGGTAGGTAATTAATTTATTTATTTTATACTTATAAATTTATGTTCATAAAATATTTTATTTTTTAATACGCAAATCAATCAAACATACTTAAAAATGTCATAAGATTTTTATTTAAAAAAAAATATTAACACAATGCAGTAACACATCTAACATATGGAAGTTAAAAATACACCCCTAAAACCAATGTCCAAAATGTCATAAGATTTTTATTTTAAAAAAATATTAACAGTAACACGTTTAACATATGGAAGTTAAAAAATACACCCCTAAAACCATGAAAGTCAGTTTAGAAGTTAAGGTCAGATACAAGTTACTACATGTTTGTAAGTTTTGTTAGACATTACAAATACACCCTAAAACCATCAAAATCAGTTTGGAAGTTAAGGTAAGTTAAACACGTATAAGTTACATTGTTAGTGGCTTGAATCACCTTGTGATACAATATTATGAAAGACTGCTTGAGTTGATATTGAGGTGATTCTTTTAAGACTTTTTTTCTTATAAATTTTGTTATTATACATAGGCTATATAATTTTGTTTCCTAATATTTGTGTTTTTACAGGCCTCAATCAAAAAGATTCATGTAGATTTGTTCAAACATTTCATAGTCATGGGTATCCACACTTTATTGTAGCGGCAGGTATAAATAAAAATTTCCAGAAGTTTATGTATAACTTCAAAATTACCCGATTTGGCTAAATGCTCCTTTTGTAAGGACTCTTGATCTGTAATTATATCTTATGCATATCAAAAACAAAATATATATTTTAATTATTGAGGATTAAATTATACGAATGTTATACATTAAGAAAACTGTACCAACTTTACGTTGCTGTTTCACGAGTTACAAATGAGAAATGATTGAAAATATTAATTTGTGATGATAAAAACAACTCAGAACTTTACATTGCTGTTTCAGAGTTACAAATGTAAAAGGATTGAAATATTAATTTGTGATGGTAAGAACAACTCAAAGACGAAGAACGTTATTCTGAATTTATATGAATTGCAAATTCTCTTTTAATTTTTTTTTTTACACGGACAACTGTACTAGTTTTAACATAATGGAGGGCATCCATATATATTGTCTAAATATAGGAATTGTTGATATGATATGTAGAACCACAATATTTTGTGGTGTGGGTGTTATGTCAAATTTTATATCAATCATTTTGTTATTGTAGCATGATCCTTCTCATATATACAATCACTATTTTGAATATTGTATCAGTAATCATATCTGTCCAGCTATTGGTAGGTGGTGTTTGTATTAGAGGACAGATGTAATAGTGTACATACATTTTAATATTAAATTTAAGAAAATAAAAATTAAATGACTATATTTACTAAACTACAACTTATCAATGAAATTGTAAAAATAGAACAATCAATCAATTTTTAGTTCTTTAAGTTAACTAGTACAGAGCCCGTGCGATGCACGGGATGTACATTTTTAAAGCTATTTATCCAGGCTTATAATTATATAAATGAATAAAGAAAGATGTACGGAATATATATAGTACGTGACCCGTGCAAAGCACGAGATATATTTATTTATTTAGAGAATATTATATTATAAGATGCAATATTCAATAAACGTTTATAATACGCAAGAAAATTATACAATGTTCAATAAAAGTTGTATAATATTCAAGTGGAGTCTTAAAGTCTCTTGTACATTAAGATTACTGACAAAATAATATTTTAATCAATGAGTTTCCTTTCCTTGTAGCCAAATTGTGAATGTGATTTGAGGAGTACAACAAATCGATATATAGCTGACTTGCTTTTTCATTGTAGTTTTTTTTTTTTTTATATATAATGAATTTAAAGATATTCTAAAATATAGCAAAAATTAATTTTTTTTGTTACAATTAGGAATTTTACTAAATATAAACTCTCAATCTATGGTGTTAATCAACGTTTAAGTCTAAAAAATTAGAAATTTTTACCTCTTTTAATCAACGTTTAAGTCTAAAAAACAATAGAGTTATTCGAAATTTTTTTTTCTACATCTTTTAAGACATTAAATATGAGCATGTTAGGGCTAGCTTGTAAAATAATTAGTATATTATCTCACTAAAACATTTATACTAATAACAATTTAATTTTAGCATATAAACTTATCCCTTGATATAAGAGAAAGTAACAGTTTTACTTATTGTTGTTCACCATATAATATTTAATTATAATTTTATTATATAATAAAAAAAATATTGTTAAATAGTGTAGTAGAATTGTTATAAAATTATATAATTTTTTTTTTACAATATGGATTTAATATTTTTTTTATGATTTGATAATATAAACAAATCTATACTTAACTTTGACAAATAAAACAAACAAATACTTTAGTAAGTATTTAATGTATATACTAAATAGGAATATATTTGGTATAATCAAATACCAAATATAATCAAATAAGTCAAAGTGTACATTTTTATTTGGTATTTGATTTTTTTATTATTAAATTTTTTTTATTATACTTACTTTTTTAAAATAAAACAAATAAATAAATAAAATATTATAATACCAAAATAGTAATGACATTTAATGCAGTTGACTTTTCTGGATAGTAAATATAGTAAATAGAATCTCTTTTTATATAAGTATAGATTGTATAATACAGAAATAATAATGCAATAAATGTTGTTGACTTTTTTTTATATTAAATCTGGTAAATGGTATACCTTTTAATATAAGTATAGATATATTTTAATTAAATGTCACGTGGTGAGTATAATAATAATAATATATAATTTATTTAATCAACTGATTACGTGCATACTATAATAATAATAGTAATAAACAATGAATAACACACGTTTTGAAAAGTTAAAGGCAATCAATCAATTCACATGAATTATAGGTGAGATTAATGAAAGGTGAGGTAATATCCGTTCATTTATATAATGTAGTGTGAAAAGGACATAAAAAAAAGTGTGAAAAGGACATAAAAGTTACTAATATTAGTAAACATTTAATGCAGACAGGATGTTGACTAAGAATTGACCTACTAATTTTGAAAAAGGTTAATTCTTATTATATAAGTATAGATATTAATTTTTATTTTATTTTAAATTTAAAAAAAATACTGATATATAGGTGGTTTTTTATATTTTGAATGGTATTTATGGTACTAGTTCTTTAAAATTCAATAATACTACCGGTATTTTGTGTATAAAATATTGTACCAATAGCCAATAACTGGTATATTTATCAGGTGCTATATTTTAAACAGAGTATACGGTATACAGAGTTAAGATTAATAATTAACCCTGACATCATTAAATTTTGAACAATAATAATAATTTATATTCCAATTGAATTATAAACTATTGCAAGTTGCTCTAACTCACTACCACAAAAAGGTACTCAACTTCAATATGGAGAAAACTCACATGATCTTGGCACAAACGCCACACATAATTTATAACCCCCACATTAAACAAAACTCACATGATCTTGGCACAAACGCCACACATAATTTATAACCCCCACATTAAACAAAACTCACATGACCCCCCCCAAGACGGTACACTACTGACATTGATCAAAATATCACACACATAAGTAGAAATATTAATATTCCTTCAATAATAAACAAATAAATAAATGGGTTTTATATAAATGAAAGCAACAATAAATTAAAATAATGATATAAATGCATTAGTATTTTACATTTTTAGTACAATCCTTTTAAATAGTATTTGAAGTCAACTATCCATATGGGTGATGAGCACATGAAATTTTACAGTTATAATAGAATTTTATAGATAGGGAAACTGCATGGTGTGACTGACTCTACCCATGTTCCCCTGCCCCCTCACTTGCCATCATTTATACCTTTGCTTTTCATCTACTCACACTCACTCTCCCCAACCTTTCCATCNGAAAAAACACCTCACTAAGTTATTCAATCCTAAAGCTAGATTAGTAAGGAACATGGATGTTTACGGTGGACTATCTGTAGATGATCTGTTAGACTTACCTAGCGACGATTTCTTCTCTCCATCTGTCTCCAACGCCGCAGGCGGCGGCGGCGGCGGCGTCTCAGACTACCTGCTGCATAATCCGTCATCATCCGCTGGCAATCGCTTCGAACAGTCACCCACTCCTAGCTTCTCTAACGATTTCAACGACATTTTGTGGTTACCGGTAAGATCTATTGTGCTAGAACGAATTTAATTTGATACAAAATAATGGTACATAATTACATACCTTCGATCGATGGATCTGACTTTCGGTCATGGTGTTTCCGATTTCCCTTGCAGACAGAGGACGCGGCAGATCTGGAATGGCTCTCGAACTACATGGACGACTCGTACTCCGATTTCCCCGCGGACGAGCTCGCCGCCGCCCCCGAAGGACTTTACTGGCGGCCGCGGAGCAAGCGCTCCCGTCCTTCCATCTCGGCCTCCGCCGCGGTCGGAAATCCGATGTCGATCTGCGGCGGCGCGAGGAGGGGAGGGAATCTCGCGAGGGCGGAGGGTGGTGGGGAGGTGGCGCGGAGGTGCACGCACTGCGCGTCGGAGAAGACACCTCAGTGGAGGACCGGGCCGCTGGGCCCGAAGACGCTGTGCAACGCCTGTGGTGTGAGGTTCAAGTCGGGCCGGCTGGTGCCGGAGTACAGGCCCGCGGCGAGCCCGACGTTCGTGCTGACTCAGCACTCCAACTCTCACCGGAAGGTTCTCGAGCTGCGGCGGCAGAAGGAGATGCTCCGCCAGCAGCAGCAGCAGCAGGAGGCGGCGGCGGCTTACGGCTTTCGGGTGTGCTGAGATGACGCGTCCCTTGCGTTGCTTATATATGACGTGTTAAAGTTAAAATCACAATATATTGTCCTTCTAATGAGACGTTTTGCCCTTCGTTTATTGTGATTTGCTTTCAATGCGTTTTCCTTAATCGCAAATAGTATCCATATTTTTTATTTTGATGTTCTTGCCTAATTAATTTTATCAAGATTAATCTAGTTTCATGAGTCCAGTTTGTAATAGACCAAAATACTTGATGTCTACTTATGTACAATACAAGCATTCAATTCACTAGTTGAAATGTCATACAATAGCAAAGTTTTTTGTAATCGTTTAATCAACATAAACAAACCTTTGATCTAACATTAGAATATCTTTTTGTACCGACACTGGCTAAAATTATAGGAGCGGTTTTTGACTAGTAGACACAACTATACTAGGCCGACTTGATAAAAAGGTAAAAACTTGAAGGATGGGTTTTCAATAAATTGGCTGCTAGGCAAAATCTTGAAGGATGAGTTTGTCTGTGTCAATCAATTGGCTGTTAAACTCACATTAAAGAACCATCAAACAAATAAATTCAACAAGTATAAAAGCATGAAAATTTCACATCTTTGTCAGATCAAATAAATTGGACTGACGATCATTTACTCGAGCCATACAAAAGTTGCATGGTGTCATACTGTCAATGTGGTTGGCTGCCCGTCTGCACAGCAGTAATAAAAGCAGTTTTCACAGTAACTTTTATTTTACTGCCTCCGATCCACACGTCTGAACAGTACTGGCCTTGCTTGGGATTCCGGAATGCCGGAAGAGGCCCATTATCGAGTTTATTTTGGGTTGTTTGCGGTCCACTAATAAATGGCTGGCATGTGAAGCAAAGCCCAATAATATTGTACTGAAAATAGAGATAATGAGTCTCGTGATGAGAGATTAGGATAATAACCCATCAATCTCTTGATGAACTAGAATATGAAATCGATCGTTTGT